CTGGCGTTTACTGTTTGAGGTTGCAGGCTTGCAGGGGGTGTTATTGACATTCCTCTGTGATGACTCTCAAACTTTGTTTGTGGGCGATTTTCAATTTTTTAAAAAAATCTTTATTTGTTTAAAATTAATTTTTCATATTTTTATATAATTATATCAAAAATAAAATTTTAAAAAATAAAATAAAATATTATTTTCATATGTTTTTAAATAAAAAATAATTTTTAGTGCAACGCCAAACACTATTTTAATTTACAAAAAATAAATTATTATTTTGATAATTAAATTTTAAACCTATTCATAACTTAATTATTTACTCTCCTAGGATTATACATTAATTCTTTTTAATTCTTGTGATCAATTATTATATTATTCTAATCATAAATGAATTTGATAAGGAATGATTTAGAATCTAACTTGAAGTCTTGAATTATATTTAATTTTAAATTACTTTAAAAATTAATTTAATTAAATTCAAGTAATTTCATAGATTAATTTATTTTCAAGCAAATCTAGATGAGACTTCACCATTGAACTCTAATGATTTTTATTTTTCATTTTTTAATCTAAACTTGTATTGACCCAACAAATCAATTAGTGGGGGCTTGGAGAAAAACCAATAAACATTTTAATGCGATATCATAAGAATCATGGGATGAAATTAATATTTTGAACTATAAGGGATTACTTTATGAAATTCTTCAAAGTATAGGGACTACATAAAAATATTCACTTTTTTTTTTTTGTTTTTTATGAAAATAATACTCAAAAACTTTAATAGAATTGAGATGGTGATAAGAAATCTATATAGCTAGCTAGGTGCCACACTGATTCATAAGAGGAGCAGGAGATAATGGAAATAGTAGCGGCTAAAACCCTCTGTCTGGGCTTAAACCTCAAGGTAATGTCATGTTTGTTTTCTCTCCTTCTTTCTTCAGTTCTGCAACTATAATTTGAACTTGTTCTTTTCATTTTAAGCCAAATTCTAGCCATTTCATTCTATAGAAGACATAGGGTCTTAAAGTAGTTAATGGGATCTATTATAAGTTCTCATGGATTTACTATAGTGCTTGAATTGACACCCGTCTGTCGTTTTTACCATGTTCACTTCATTGTAAGATGACAGGCAACGCAGTGATTCTCATTTCTTCACAACCAGCACACTTCTGCATTATGTTTTTATCCACTTTTTTGTTTGTCTGTTTGAGTTTAGTTTTACTATGGAAAACTATAATCTTTACTTGAGTAATTTACATTTTAATACTGGTTTTAGCTTCTTTGTAATGAGTCATGGCCCTTAAATCTTAATCTGAATTGACATGATGTAGTGGAATAGTTTTGGTTTTTTCTTTGGTTATTATTTGCAGTTAATAAGTCACAAGCATACAGTGGATGTCTTTACTCCAAATCTAACTCGCAAAATACCATCCTTTTCCCATCAAATGAGATGTGGGGCTCAAGGATTTTGGAGAAGGTAATGCAGTTTCATTCACTTGAGCTCGAGTATTGTATTTGGATTTTGATGTAAATGTCATTGTTGGGTTTTTGTAGCAAGAAGTAGAAATTGGGGAGGTTGCTTATTTATTTGTTAATTTGATTTTACAGGGAAAATGGTAGATGTTTTACTCCTGTTGCAGCTGTAGTATCAGGTGCAAATCAAATTTTGTCTTTCAATTAGTTGCTTTTAACCTTATTGCAAGTGTTGTGTTGACCTTTGACTACAACTTAATGACTACATAAATTAGCTGCTGAAGATGTTGAAGTATCTTCCTCTCGGTTCAAAGATTTCACAGTGATGATTACGAATACCAATGAAGATCAAGAATTGAAGGTATGAGCGGATATTGGATTCATGTAGTTGGTTTGTAGGCAAGTTTAAAATTGCCTGGTGGTTGATAATTTTAGGAATCTATTATATTCATAGCTTTTGTGGACAGATAAGAGTGGAAGTAGCTGGTGCCAAAACTAGAGCAATTTTTGAAGAGGTTTTCAAAAAAATGGTTACTGCAGCCCAGCCAATACCAGGATTTCGAAGAGTAAAAGGAGGTAAAATATCTGAATTCTTTATCTGATTGCTAGTGGAGAAGTGCTGTCTTCTAGAATCTCAAGCCTACTTATAATCATCTTCAAATAGTTTTTTTCTATAGTTTGGAATCTGAGAACTTAGCACCATACTGCTAGTAGTCTGATTGAAATAATGTTCAACTGTATTCTTACTAGTAACTTGCCAAACCATCCTTCTAAAGCCGTATTTGATCTTATTTTCTTTACGGTATTGCTTTTTAATGACTGTTCTTTTCTAATGCTTTCTCATTTCCCTAATTTTAATCTGCCTCTGATATTTTCTGTTATTATTTCTATGCGATGCATCATTTCTATCAAACACCATGGGGAATTGGCAGGAAAAACACCGGATGTGAGTTTCCATATCCTCTTATTTTACTCCAATTTCATTTACTTAGTTGTAATAAGTAACTTAAATATGAGATTTTTGTCCATTTCCTAAAGTGAACAAAAACTTGCATTCTTGAGATGTATGTTGACCTCATCTTGAGTCCATTACCATCTGCAGACAAAGTATGCACAATATGTTGTGCTAGTAGTGAACTTTGAAGGGGCAGTGTCATGTCACCTAGCTTGCAACTTTGAGGCGCATCCTCTTTTAACATAATCTATCATGTCTAAATGGATTCTTATGCTCAGTTTACAGCTGCAACTTCATGGGGGGGGGGGAAAGCAAACGTGCTCATTATTTTTCAATATTAAATCATGAAACTTTTGTTATGGAGAACATTCATGTGTACACATGCACCAACACACACTATTGATGTAAAGCACATGCACAAAGAAGAAAAAACAGCCAGCGATGATTTCATTGAAAAGTTAGAGAGCTAACGATTACATCCTATGCATGCGGACTTCAGACAAGAACATTCTTGCAGTCATGTTCTTATACATTTGCTTGGACAAACACATGCGTATACACATATATAATAGAATTTTATTATTGTTTGTTTCTGGCAGATACCTAGAGACATTTTGTTAGAAGTTCTTGGACCTTCAAAAGTTTACAAGGAAGTGATCAAGAAAGTCATAAACTCTACCGTAGCTGAATATGTTGATAAGGTAACCAGTACTACTTTAACTTCTTGATTGATTCTAAAGTCATGAAGTTATTTTATCTTCACGGTGCTGTGATTAACCAATGAATTGTGTTCTGGGAAACACTTCAAGTAGATATAGTTTTGTCACGTGACTAGAAATATTACTAGGAAAGAAATCAATGGAAGAGCTTACAAATTTACAGAAACTGACATCATAAATCATGTTAATGGAGAACTTAACCTGATCTTTCTCTCTTTCTCTTTTTTTTTTGTCCATACACCTTGATGAATGTCTTGACCAACTTTTAAATCGTGAGCCAACACCTGCATTAATGCTGTTTATTTTGAATGGTATAGTTGAAAGTTGATTGATCCAGTAGCTCTAGCCACCATTACATTCATCACACTAGCAATTTTGTTTTTTGTTCTTGTTTTCTATTAAAATCAAATGACCTTTTGTGTGTTCTTTGTGGAAGTACTGCTTCTTGGAATGCTATTCTTTCCTCCAGTCCAACTGCTGTGGTGCAGCCAATTGCATCATTCCCCTGTATTCTGAAGGCATTTTATCTATGAATCTAATGCTTGGCATTAACACTATCTTTTCGCTTCTATAGGAAGGCTTAAAAGTTAGCAAAGACTTGAGAGTTGAACAAAGCTTTGAAGATCTTGAAGATGCATTTGAACCAGATGAAAAATTCAGCTTTGATGCTGTCATTCAGCTTCAACAAACATCTTGAAAAACATTGCACTTTTGAGAATGAATCCAATTTTGCCCTGTATTAATTGTTACAGCAACTTGTTTGCTCACTGGAATGTGAAACTAAAATTAGGTGAATGTACAGAGTTATCAGATCCCCTTTCTATTAATTATTTATTTAACCATTTTGAGGCTCATCAGCTCTCATGTTTCCTTACATGTTTCCAAAAGTTCCATACCAGTTCAAAATGCAAGAAAGCGGAAATTTGTTTGGTATCAGATTAGTTTCAGACTCATTTTGACAACTATTTGCTATAAGATTCAGTGTACCCTAAAAAGCATAGACAAGTAATTAAATCAAAACCAGGTAATCTAGTTTTATAACAGCAAGCAACTCGTGTAGAAAAAAAATGCTAGAGTTGAAGCCATGTAGATTCTGAGCATCATTGCCAAGTTGGTGCGTTGGCTTGTCTGGTTTACATCTTTACGTGCTCAATCCCATTGTATAGCAAAAAATGCCATTGTTGAAGCCATGGCAGAGATAAAACAGACAGAGCAGTGCTAGTGCCGTTGCCTCCATGATGTTTCTTGAATTTCTTTAGCAACTTATACCAGCAAGTTTGCTTTGGCA